GAAAAATTTAAATGGGCGGCTGAACCACACCATCGAAAAAATAAACAGGATTACCTTCTATTGTCTCTATATAATGGAATACAGATTGCTTGATTCATCGACTTTCCAATTACATCCTACATAAAATAATATCGAAGAACTGATTAGAGTACAGACATGCACATAGATACTCTTACCCCGACAGTGACAGAGTCACTGTTCTAACATAGTCAAATACTGTCTATCACCAAATGCACACACGAGAAACTTTAATGACAGCTCTGACAGTAAGGAAAAGAGAGACACCTGTGAGCTGAAAACCACCTTGGAGCTAACACATGGCAGGCTCGGTGCCACCTCCCTCCAGTTTTGTGACATCATGGATTGGTTTATATCCAGCTGTAAACACTGACACTCTGTGCGGCCGGCAGGTGGCATGGTGGTTAAGGGCGCTGGACTCAGACATGGCTGACCACTGTGGCTTGCTTTCTCACTTTCTCGCTCTTTGTCCCTCTGCCCCTCTCTGGTCAAAGTAAAACTAAAGAAAGTTCAATAAAATAATTCTTAAAAAAAAAAAATTTGACACTGTAACTAAAACCACTAATAGGGATTTGTTCCGGACCAAGTAGAATATTAAGGATGCCAACATTTTCAATAATCCTGCACTGTTGGGAACCAGCAGTTAGCGTAATGGCTATGTCGCTGGACTCCCACGTAGTCGACCGCGGTTCACATCCCAGACCCGGTGGCTTAAAACTCACGCCGGGCGCGTGTGCGTGCGTGCCTAAGATCCCGAGAGGAGAATGGAGGAGAAGGGATTGCAGCGTGACCATCCCCCTGGGGGGTGATTTCTTGCTTTCTGTGTCTCTGTCTCTGTTTGGTGAGCGCACATGCCTCACACGGAAAAGCTCTCCAAAAAAAAAAAAAAGAAATCCTGCACTGTTTTAAAAACTATGTAAGAAACTGACCAGCTAGGAGTAGTAGGCTGAACCACATGAAACCACCGTTTTTGTGGGCCGGCCCTGTGGCATAGCAGTAATGTGCTACCGGAGAAGCCGGATCTCACATGGCTACTGCGACCTGAACCCCAGGCCCGATCAGCCTGAAACACACTGGGCAAGTGTGTGAGGATGTAATGTGCTGGCCATGTATGATCAAGGGGCAGGAGGGCTGCAGGAAGGGGACTGTGGCTTGACCAGACCCAAGGAGAGTGCCCATCTCTCTCTCATTCAGTGTTACATCATAAAGGAAAATAATAAATAAATGATGATGATGATTATTATTATTTCTGATAAAGAGAGATTTTTGCTATATAATGCATGCACTCACCAGAGAGACAGAGAGTGAGAGATCAACCCCAGTGGGGATGGCCATGCCACAATCCCCTCTCCTCCAGTTTTCTCTCAGAATTTTGGGCATGCACACATTCCTGGTGTGAGTTTTAAGCCACTGGGTCTGGGACTCGAACTGTGGTCAACTACATGAGTCCAGTGATATAACCACTACACCACCTGCTGGCCCAGATAAATGATCTTAAAAATAAAATCTGCATACTGTTAGCCAAAACCAGTTGAATATGAGCATTTTCACAGAGTTCATCCTAATAACCGACGTTAGGGAGCCACACACAAATACCCTGGCTCCCACAGAAAGACGTGCATTCCTTTCCAACTTACCGCTGGCTTTTGCAAACATCGGTCAATAATGTTCTCCATCCGCCTTTTCACAAAATGCAAGGATTTTCGAGGATAATATGGAAATAGCAAAGGACTTTCTAGTTTCAGACAAAAACAGAAACAAAAATGAAAAAGCTACAGCACACTGGTGAGTAGGAACGAAGAATCCGCCGTTAGGGCCAGCCCACAGCCCCTGCCGTGGTGTAATTCCCGCTGGCCACTCGATCCTCCACACCCCTCATAGAACATGGACGTGGCCTCGGCCTCTCATCACCTCCCGCTGACAGCCCACGAAAACAGCCGCAATTAGCACAAGCCTAGTCGCACCAAGACCTAACAGTACACTTCTGTTGGATGTAAGAAGGATGGAGGGACCTAGGAGCCACGGCGCTGTAATAAAATAAACATTCCGGGACCAGCAGATGGCGTAATGGCTATGTTGCTGGACTCAACGTAGTTGACTACAGTTCAAGTCCTGGACCCAGAGGCTTAAAACTCATGCCAGGTACATGTGCATGTGTGCCCAAGATCATGAGAGGAGAATGGAGGAGAAGGGACTGTGGCATGGGCATCCCCCCTCTGGGGGGTGATTTCTCACTTTCTGTCTCTCTGTTCTCTGGATGAGACCATTCACCCTATAGTAAAAATCTCTCTTTAAAAAAAAAAAAAAAGGAAAGAAAAGAGGCTGAGAGATTAATGGCTTGTTCAAACTCAAGTTCACTACCAAAACCTTGAGCACTTAAAAGATGGAACTAATCTGAAGTACATCTTAGTTGGCTACGAGGTCTGCAGCTAAGATCAGTCCTTTCTTTTTCAGACATACAAGATGGGGGGGGGGTGAGAAGAGGGTAGGACCTAGTTTTAACCCAGTGAAGTTCCCAGGATCAGTATTTGTCACACAAAGGCTCTGTTTGCTCCCTGGTCCACCCTCAGATCTGAATATGGTGGTGCAGGCCTTTAGTCCCAGCTACCTGGGAAGCTGAGGTAACAAACCAAGCCACTGCCTTAAAACAAAAAACCTGGGAAGCTGAGGTAACAAACCAAGCCACTGTCTTCACACAAAAAATGAAAACCAAAACAAACGAATAAAACTGTATGTACACGTGTGTGTGTTTATATATGCTTATGTATCAGCCCGTACAGAGGCAGGGGCCAGGTGTCACTGCTTCCAACACACCTGTCATGGGCCTTGGCAGGCATCCTTCCCACTTCCTGGACACAGAATACGGTAAGAGAGGGCATTCTACTGCCCTTTCAGCCTCCGCGCATTCATTGGCTGATTTACATTAGCACCTCACTCTACTGATCTCGAGACTCAAGCAATACAGAGTAAGACCTGCCCTGGAAAAGAATTTGGACTTCCAGGGCTAAAACAAAAGAGCCATAAGTCAAGTTCTGGGTATCACAAGTCTCGCCCTCATTCATCCACTCATCCAGAAGAGCAGCAACCACACATGGGCAGAGATTACTGCCGAGTCCAGCTCCGACTGCAGGCTTTGATTGTAACAGATTCTGAGCTCCATCCCTTCCCGGGCTGTGATCTCGGGCCTTCTCTAACCTTCGGTTTCCTCATTAGCAAACGGAAATAACCAGTACCACCCCCATGGGTTCTTGTGAGGATTAACAGCGGTCACATGTGTGAGTACGACAGCACAGAGCAAGCACAGGATAAAAGTCAGCCTTACCCTAAGGATCTCAGGAATTGCTAAGCTGTGGTCAGACTGTCCTTTAAGAAAGCCAAGACATATTTGCTATAAAAATGTTTTAATCGGAAGTGGTAAAAAGTCTGAAACATTTAATGGTTGCTATTGCGTGTGAGGTCCCTAATAATGCTAGATAAATCGTTTTTCAATATGGTAACATTTGGAGATCCTAGAGAATGAAAAGGCATAACCAGTCCACACCGGAAGTAAGAATCCTCCCCTGTTTGCAGAAGTTAATGAACTGGAACTGCAAACACACTTCTCCACCAGTTCGCTCTAGACATTTTCCCTCACTAGGCTGTTTTTCACAGGGCCGGAAAATGACAACAGAGGAATGCTTAGCAGCCTTGCTATTTGTTATCTTGTCTTTGTTTTTGTTTGTTTGTTTGTTTTGCTGCAGGGCCTGTGTGCTTGCCGAGAGAGAGAAATGACAAATCACCCCCCAGGGGGATGGCCACGCCCCACATTCCCTTTGGGTACAGAGGCTTAGATGGCCAGATGGTTTGCAAGCCACTGGGTCCGGAACTCAAACTGCGCATGTGGGATTCAAGAGCCTAAACCACCACGCCATCTGCTGGCCCTATCTTGCTATTTCTAAATCACATTAAGTGGACACAAAAAAAGTAAGTTTTAAGAATCCTAGATAAGTAATCAGTAAGCTTGGACCTGGTCTCAAGTAAATAAGAACATTCCAATAAATAAACACATGGCTATATCTATGTGACTGACAAGATACCTTTCAGGTGGCTGCTATGTTGAAGGAAGTCATACCACTGGTTCCCTTCTGTGTTTGGGGGCGACACCAGATCATCATCTTCGTCTTTCAAGTACTGGAAATACAGAATTCAAATTTTAATTATGGTGTGCCCAAGGACAAGGCTCCAGGAATTGTTCATATTAACATTTTTCTATTTAGTAAGTTTTGGTTTCACCGCCAACTTCTCTCCAAGTATATGACCCTTATTCTAAACCGAGGGTCTCGAAATGTGCTCAATGCCAGGCAACTAAGCAAACTGCAAGCTGGGAAGAGATCAGAATGTCACAGATGTACGGAACGTAAACTGAACTGAAACCGTGTTTATATGTTATATCTGAACATATTTTAGATATGTGAATTATACGTTAGTTCTACAGGAAGAACCGTCAATATAATCTGTGGCAGCTGTATTTCAGTGTGGCCTGCAGACCCCTGGGGGTGCCCAAGATACTTCCAGGGGTCTACCAGGTCAGTGCTAGTTTGAAAATAATCCCAAGATGTGACCTGCCCTTTCCACTGTGGACATTTGTGAGAATGGGGACAACGAGAGGCTCCACTAAGAGTCACGGTCGCAGCCCCAAGTCACACCATCACTGGGTTCTGCTTCACCGCACGCTTGAAAGGTTCACGTCTCCTTGATGAAGACACCGAGTTACCATTTTACAATCTCAACCCCTGAGTATGAATCGGTTACAGTCTACGTGACGGAGCTGAGAAGTACACGTAAGGCTGTGTTACTGCACACTAAACTGACGGGTATCTCAACAGGAAGCAGTGACACAACTGCTTCGTGTCAGTAAAGCCAGGTAATTTTTTTTTAAATTATTATTATTTAGTTTGCCAAAGGATACATAGGATCGCCAAAGAGAGACAGAAAGGGAGAAAGCACTTGCCACGTGGGGCTCGCAATCTCTTCCCCTCCACTTCTCCACCCTGTGGGGTTTGGGGCATGAGAGCACATGCACCTGGTGTGTTTTTCAAGTTTCTAGGGCTGGGATTCGAACTGTGCAGACAGCCACGTGGGATGGCTAGGCCATGGAGCTGCTCCCTCTTCACTTTTTCCAAATGAAATTCCATTTTCACTTGAAAGAATGACAGGAAGACAAGCTGATGACTCATACGTGGCTACCTGGCGGGTAAGTTCTTGAGAAGAAAGGGAAGAACTCGTCACTCTGGGCAAAACAAATGGCAGTATTTGTTGCCAATGATAAAATTTAAACTCTCAACCCGGAACTGAAATTCTGGAAAACCTACATGTGCTCTGTGTATCTGACAGCTTCACAGCACTTCCAAGGCTTTCCTGGTTAGTCTGGCAGGGGTATTAATCAAGCCTGACTTTTGGTTCCCGTAGAACGAAAACTGTCAGCATGTGGATAGACGTTCCTTTCTAGGGCCAGCAGGTACTATGGTGGGTGAAGGCACTGGATTACCACATGGCTGACCTGGTGCGAACCCTGGACCTGGGGGCCTGCTGTCTCACTTTCCCTCTCTGTTGCAGGGAGCACCTTAGGGTGGACAGTCTTTGTACTATCGCTGCAGGGCATGCAAGAGCTCTAAACAAAGACAAAACCTACTGCTGGGCTTTACAGATAGAAGAAACCGAGGTCAGCCAGAGGAGGCCAGGAAGGCTTGTTGAGAACCATAAGATACTCCACAGCTGAAACACTTGGCTTTGCCTCCCCTACAAAAGAGTGAGCACAGGGGACTGGCAAGTGGTATGATAGTTAAGGGGCTGGACTCCCATGTGGCCGACTGTGGTTCAAGCCCTGGACCTGGTGGCTTGCTTTCTCACTTTCTCTTTCTTTCTCTCTCACTCTATCCTTCTCTGATCAAATTTAAAAAATAAAGTGAAATATGATATTTTTCTAAAAAATGAAATTAAGAAAAAAAAAAAACAGTGAGCACAGAACAGCTCGGGGCCATGGCATTCTCCAGCAGCCTCTGGGTCCACCTGAATCCCACTTTATCTGTCTGTCATTCTTAATCCACAGCCCCTCCCCTCGGCTACCCTATCTCTTTACCCTCAGGCAGGGGCACTCTGTCTCTCACTGGTCAAATTGAAAATAATAATAATAAATAAAATTAATTCTTTAAAAGTAAAAAGTTTGATTCCAAGCATAAGGTAAATGAGAGTTTTAATGTAACAATATAAAAAGTTCCCTAATGCAAATTAGATCTACATGGAAGCTAACCTTTAAGATACTATCAAATGTGACCAGCAGATGGCGTAATGGTTAAGTCACTGGACTCCCACCCACGTAGTCGACGGCAGTTTGAGTCCTGGAACCGGCTGCTTAAAACTCATGCCAGGAGTGTGTGTGCATGACCAAGATCCGGAGCAGAGAGTGGAGGAGAGGGGTTGCGACATGGCCATCCCTTCTGGTGGGTGGTTTCTTGTTTCTGTCTCTCTGTCTCCCTCAGTCTCTCTGGCAAGTACATGTGCCCTATAGCAAAAATCTCTCTAAAAAACAAAAGAGAGAGAGAGAGATACCATCAAGTGTCAGGACTTGAGGTATCAAAAAATCTCCGCAATATCCGGAAAATCTGTAACAGTACTTCTTCCTTCCCAAATACACGTCTGTGTGAGGCCAGATTTTGATAAACGCTAACAAAAACAACATACTAAAAAGACTGAATGCAGAAGCAGACATAAAAACTTACCTTCTTCTATTTAGCAGTACACCAAAAAGATTTGCAGAAGTGTGAACCAATGCCAATTTTCATTAAATTACTTTTGTTTTATAAAACACTATTACTTTTCAATAAGGACATTAATGTTAATATGTCATGGTAAATGATCTTATTATTTTAAGATATAATTTTTTATTTTAACTTTTAACACCTAATAATATATATCATCAATAGATAACAACCCACACAAACGAAAGCTCTTTTTGGAACTTGAATAATTTTTTCAAATATAAATGAATGCTGATGTCAATAAGTTTAGAAACTGCAGCTTTCTGGTTATCTGACTAAAAGAACTGGGATGCTACATAATTGGGATTGTATTACTTCTTGCAAACTTTGGATAATAAAAATTAACACTGCTAAGCTTTTAAAATTAATTCTTAAACATCAAAACAGATTAATAATTAAAATCAGTTCAAAGCCCATACCTGACCAACTTTTTCAACATTAAAGTATTTTCCTTTGCGATTATAAAGGTCTGGAGCCTGGAAAGAATAAATATGGTTTAATTCTTAGGTCAATTCCTAAAAGCCAAAGAAAAAACAAATCTTAAGATCTAAACTAAAAACTTTTCTTTTTTTAAGACAGCTGTTAGGGGCAGTTATTCTTTTTTCTTTTTTAAATTTTACCAAAGGGTGCATGCCCTGGTCAGAGAGAAACAGACAGAGGGAACTGAGAAAGTGCCTCCCAAGAGGGGAGTCATACTGCAATCCCTTCTCTTCCATTCCTTTGCCTTTTGGAATTCAGAGCCTGCGTGAACGTTCATCCTACATGTTTTTCGGGCCTAAGGGTCTAGAACTTGAACCGCACAGTCAACCGTGTGGGGAGCAAGCCACTGTAACCACCAGGCCACCGGCTGGCCCACTCTGTTCTCTCATGGATTGTAAAACATACATATAAAGTTCGATTTATGGGGCCATATCCAGGACCTGGTGGTTAAGGGAGCTGAATCCCATACAGCGGACCTCGTGGTTCAAACCCCAGACCCACTGGCTTGAGAAAGGAACACACCAGGTGCCTGTCATACGTGCTCGAATCCCAGTGACGTGGAGGAGGGAGAAGGGACTGCAGTGTGACCGCGGCCCATTGGGAATGCTTTCTCTCTCTTCCTCTGTCTCTCTTTGGTGAGCACATGTGCCCTTTTAGCAAATTAAAAAGAATTCATTTAAAAATACATAAAGTCCGATTTACAGACTTTACGTTTAATAAATAAACACCACTATTATTTACTTCAGCCATTTTTTCAAACGGGAAATTGCTAAGGACTCCAATTAAATTGGGTTAAATTTAATTAGTTCTTATCATTACCCAAGTATACTGCCATTCTTTTTCTAAAAAGACTGCATTATAGAAACACTCATTTCTTACCTCATTGAAATGTTCAGTAAGAAATTCTGCAACAAATGTGATGTCTTTTTGAGTCATCTAGCAGCAACAAAAAGGGACAAAAGGAAAACACATGATAAAAGAAAGCTTCCTGATTAAAAAAATATTATGCAGTAACAAAAGAGATTTTTTACTGTTTACTAAAAACCAGGGGAAAATAGGTAAACTTCCTTCAAAGACATAAGAGTTAATGCAACTGTGAAAAAAGGAACTCCTGGGGACCAGACAACAATGTAATTAAACTTTTTATTTTTTTAAAGATTTTTGTCACAGGGCACAGGCCCTCACTAGAGAAAGAGAAGGAAAATGAGAAACCTCCCTTGGGGGATGACGACTCTGCAATCTCTTCCTCATTCCCCTCTTGAGATTTTGGGCACATACACACTATGCTCGGCATGTCTTTGAAGCCACTGGGTCTGGGACTCAAACCGCAGTTGGCCGTGTGGGCTCCAGTGCCTTCACCACCATGCCATCTGCTGGCCCCTGTAATCACACATTTTTAAACCCATTCCCCAGGGGGGATGGCCACACTTCAATCTCTTCTCTTCCATTCTCCTCTCGGGGTATTGAGCATGCACCCACATGCTGGCATGATTTTCAAGTTGCTGGGTCTGGATCTCAAACTGAAGTTGGTCACGTGGGAGTCCAGCACTTTAGCCACCATGCCACCTGCTGGTCCCCAAAGTTATAAATTTACATAGCCATAAGAATAAAGGTATTCTTTGAGATGAAAAAATACATAAAACATACCAATTTCTTAAAAACAAATAGCTTAAGGGATCCGTCGAAGGTCTACAACCTGCTGTCCTATTAGTAACTACTGTGAGAACACCAGGATGATACTCAGAGTCACACTGAACAAGGCAACAGAACACGCCAGGAAGATCCCTAGGACCCTACCTTATTCAGCTCGGGAAGCACGTGGTCTTCCGTCATTCTTAACATTGCTGGAAATACAAAGTCCAAAGTTAAAAAAACTCTCTTTAAAAACACAGTTTTGATGATGATACCTTTTAAAGACTAAATATGTTTTATTGAACTAAATCTTCTATTTTAAACAGCTTCTTTTCACCAAGAGAAACTTGTTTTCTTCCAAAAACCATAGGATGAGGAACTCAAATTTGATTTACCGTTTCAGGTTCAAAACTGTTGGTCTAGTGAGTCTCAACCGCTAGTTTTCTTTTTCTCTGACTCAACCCCCCCAACATTACAAACAATCTGAGATCTTGTGCTAAAACTAGGTGTGTATGAATTCCTCCTCCTACCTTGTGACATTCTCTTAAAACCTGCACACAGAGCCTTCCTATACCTTGTGACATTCTCTTAAAACCTGCACACAAAGCCTTCCTACGAAGCCTTCCTACGAAGCCTTCCAATATCGAAGGAATATATCCATTTCCCTTGGCCTTTTATGCTGCACAAATACGTCTGCACTGAGATTTACATGTGTATGCAGGTGCGTATGCACACACACACACGCACACACACACACACACACACACACAACTTATGTACCCTTTGATCTATAGGCTTTGATTCTTCTTGTCCTAGCACGGGGCTAACGGCACTGTGTTTTCTGTATCGTGTCCGCCTCAGGGAAGACGAAGCAGGCTGCCTGTGTGTCTGCATGGTGTCTGGACTCACTGAACCGGGCTTGGTTAGTAACCAGCACATCATAAGTACTCTCACGAACACAGCTTACAATCCGTCTTTAACCATTTAAACTTCTAAATGACCTGAAACATTGGCTACAGTCTAATTCCACTTATTTGTTCATGTACCCATTCCAAAAAAGACTTCCTGGGCATACGATTGGAGTTAGAGACACAGCGATATAAACCAAGCCCCTGCCCGCCTGGAGGTTATACAGCACAATGGGGAAACCAAGGCCACCCAGCTACTGGGGGCAAAGCCAGGATGATGATCGTATCTGGAGCTCTCCAACGCAATGCTGTCTGCAATGTTCTGCTCGAATGGTAAGGACTGAGCAGTCATTCCTCCTCCTTCTAACCCTGATTCTTAAGAGAGTCAACAAATGCAGAAAGCACAGAAACCTCCTATGTTACCTCCAAGGAGGGTATGTAAAACAAACTACTACTTTTGTCAAAGAAAATGATTCCTTCTAAAGACTCGTTCAGTTTTCATACTGCAATTTATTTTAATTAACAACTCAGATCTGAGACGGGCTGGCCTGATAAACACTCTCCCCCATGCTGACTAGCACTGGAAGTGTTTTGAGAAATATCTAAGAACTTCAAGTGTTAACATCTGCATCACATTCAGTTTTTAAACAAAAGCACTTTTATAAGCCTGAGAAACTGAACCGGTCTGGGATGACACTCCCAGGGTTGTCCCAAAGTATTACTAAAAACCCTTCCCTCAAGTAACTTACCCACATAAAGCCACCGAAAAAATGCTTTGAAGTTTTTCATACTACTATCTATAACTCTAAAAAAAAAAAAAAAAGATAAAATAAGATTATTACATGGGGGTCATGTATCATTGCTCAATTGTCATGGAATACAATAGTTCTTACTCTTCTATTTCATCCTATCTGGATGACATGTAAGTCTTTAGACAGCAGATTTTACAAATCAAACTCACACCTAAAAATAAAATCTCAAAAAAGCACATCCTGATTCTTTTCCAAAATAAAGCAAAGAACTGATTACAACAGCCTTGCCACAAATAGGAGAGCAGTGTTTCCTGGCATTCAGTAAAGGAGGAAAGTCTTTGCCAATTCTGCAAAGGAAAAATGAGTTTTCAGCACTAATCTCTGTTAAAAAAAAAAACATCAAAATACTCGGGGACCAGCAGGTGGCATGGTGGTTAAGGCACTGGACACTTCCACATGGCCGACCACGGTTAAGTCCTGGACCTGGTGGCTTGCTCTCTCACTTTCTCTCTCTCTCTCTTTCTCTGTCTCTCTCTGGTCAAATTAAAATAAATGAATGAATAAATAAAATTTAAAATAAATAATTATAAAAAAAAATACTCACTGGTCCATAAGAAGATAAAACAGACCAGAATGTTCAACAGAAACATCATTATAAATCTTTTTTTTTTCTCCTTGTTTTCTTTTTTTGGGGGGAGAGGTTTTTGCTATAGGGCGCATGCGCTTGCCAGAAAGAGAGAGACAGAGAGACAGAAAATGAGAAATCACCCCCCCAGGAGGGATGGCCATGCTGCAATCCCTTCTCCTCCGTTCTCCTCTCGAGATCTTGGGTACGCACGCACATGTGCCCGGCCTGAGTTTAAGCCACTGGGTCCGGGACTCAAACTGCGGTCGACTACACGGGAGTTCAGCGACATATCCATCACGCCAACTGTTGGTCCTGAAATAGCGACATAGCCATCACGCCAACTGTTGGTCCTGAAACATTATTATAAATCTGTACTATGTCACTGTCTCTGACATCAATGGACATTATTTGTGGAAGGTTGGATTTTTATTTTAATAATGACTGAGATCTCAAAAACTCAATTTCCCTAGGCTTTACACAATTGCAGTAAAAAAATGAAGTGTTTTAAATAGAAATTATCTTCAGTTCAATGAAATTGTTTCCAAATACAGAGATGAGTATCATTTTTTTAAAAAATCTTATTTAAGTTCCTATCTTTAAGATAATTACTCTAAGCAAATAATACCTGCGCTTCCCATAAATCTCAAAGCCCTTTCTAAGCATCAAGGTTCAGAGAACTACTGCTGAAGTAGGTCGAGATCATTAACCTTTCTGTACAAAGTAAAACACCTGAAATAAAAGACTGCACCATCTCTGAGGTTGCTAAGCCGTATCATTGAAATCCTTTTTAAGCCAACAATTTAAAAAAAATTATTTAGTTTCTTTCCCAATCAAGATACCCTCACTCCCCTCCGAGCAACCAGGCTAAATCAGAATTCTCACAGGCTCAGTTCTTCCATCGATAATCTATAATTATGCTCTGTTTCATTTATCTGAAAGGAGCCAGAAATTAAAGCACCTTTCCCGTCTATGCAAAGGTGATCACAGGAAACTTAGTCTCTTATATTTGCTCTCAGCAAACATGGTGAACCGAACAGATCACAGAATCCACGCTCTCCTCTCAGTCTATCTTCTGAGCACAAGCATCTACAGCTCTGCTTTCTAAAACCCCACTGACATGACAGAGTGGGGAGGGCTTTCTGTGCTCCAAACCCACAAAAAACGAGAACAGTACCAGCTCCCAGGAACGCAGAGAACAGTAAAGAAAAGCAGTTAAGTTTTAGAAACGTCAAAAGCCAGTGACGATGGTGACTGATAAAGGTCAGAGGTGGAGGCCACGTGCCTAACAGTGCCCAGAGAGGGCAGCCGGGAGGAGGCTGCCTGCCCTGGGAGACCCAGAATCCCAGCTGCTCAGACCTGACCAATGTCAGGCTCAGCAGAAGACACCAGGCTGCTGTGTGGTGCTGGACACAGGGGACAGACTGGAAAAATGCAGGGACTAAGAAGCTCTTTTGCCAAAAATAAGAAGCATGTCAGTTAAAAACAGAGGGTTCTTCAAAGAAACAAAAGAAACTGAGCAGACCTAAGGCAGTTCTGTGTGGGCACCGGCAGGCCAAGGCAAAGCTCTCCTTGCCCTGGCACACGGGGATGATAGGCAGCTTGACACTGCTTCATGAATAAGCACAAGAGAACCACCAAGCATATCATAGTTGAAGAAATCTTGTAACAAGATCCCAAGATAAGCAGAAAAGTAATGCATGAGGTGGAAATAATTCAGGAAGAACAGAGACTTCTTAAAAAATCTAATTAATGAGAAAGATTGGAGAGAATGTCACATCAATAAAACAAGATCGGAGCTCTGAAAATCATTAAAGAAACAAGAAATCATTAAAGAAACAAGATTGTCCTAATAAGAAATTCAACAAAATGGTTCAGTTCAGTGAGCTCATCCTCCAACTTCACTTTAAGTACTTACTCTTTTTTTTTGGCTATAGGGCAGTGGGCTACCAGGAGAGACAGAGACGGACAGAGAGCAAGAAAGTGTAAAATCACTCCCCAGGGGAATGGCCACACTGCAATCCCTTATCCTCCCTTCTCTTCTCTGGATTTTGGGCACACACATACTCGGCATGTCTTTCAAGCCACCGGGTCTGGGACTCAAACCCATTTGACCATGTGGGGTCCAGTGTCTTCACCTCCACACCCTCTGCTGACCCCAGCACTTACACTAAAGCTCGCACTGCAGACCCTGTTGTCACCAACCCCATCTATCTGATGGCAAGCATCCACTAACCAACCAGTTCTTTCCGTCCAGAATCCTCTCTCCAGAGACCCAGCCACTGTCCCACCAGGACCACCCTGTACGGGTTCTATACCTTTCACTGGTTCTCATGCCCCGTCCTCACCTCCCTCCCAATCTAGTTCGGACTGGAGGTTGCCGATTTATTCAAGCTCTTGCTTCCATTCTCTTGCCCTCTCTTGGCTTGCTTCGCTCACCCAGCCTGGTTCGCCCAGCTGCTTACCCGCTGTGCCCCACTCCTGCGGGGGCCTCACCTGACTGCTCCCACGAGAGAAGCCTGGGCCCACAGCAGCCCACCTGTTCCGTTAGTACGTTCACTCTCCTGTCAGACCCGGGGGCTTACATTCACACCGGGCGCATGTTCTTGCTTTCTGTCTCTCTGTCTCTCTGGCGAGCACGTGAGCTCTGTAGCAAAAATCTCTCTCACAATCCTGAGAGTCAGAGTAGAATGGATTGGTGGTGGCCATCCACTCCTAGGAGGATGATGTTTTGCTTCTTCTCCCTCTTTCTCTGACAAGCACATGTGCCGTATAGCAAATTAAAAAAAAAAAGAGAGAGAGAGAGAAAAAGGATGCTGTATAATCATATCACTTAGAAATACTCAAACAATCCCAGGAGTTCCAATAACTCCCTCTGGAAGGAGGACCAGGGCAGGATAGGGAAACAGTTCCACTCAGTAAGGCCTCTGTGCTACGGCTTGTTTTAATCACGGACAGGCCTTTTTATTTTTTTTTAAATGTAAAATCTCATTTTAAGAGAACCATGACAACTTCCTCAGTTCTTCTTTAAATAAAAAGTGGACCTGAAACCCCCGATACTTACTGGAGGAGTTCATTGGCCTTGAGGATAAAGGAACCCACGGCAGTAATAGCATCTACGGGGGGAAATTATAAATGTCATTTGTCAAATAGATAAACTGGCTTCAATGTGCTCTGTGGAGAAATTCAACCTCTACCTTCAATTCCTGAGGCATCGAGCCCAAGAGGTTCATATTTCTGTTTCCACGAGGCCATTCCTTTCAGTTCACTTAAATGATACAGCAAAGACTCGGAGCCGCTATAAGCAGAAGGAGTAAGTTCATATTATCGGGGTGACAGGCAGCTACGACCGTGCCTAAACACCGCTACATTTCATGACATAAAAACTCAAAGCAACTTTGATTTTCTTTCTATGAGAAATAATTATTTCAAAACCAGATCTAAAGCTCACAGCAGAATCAATGGGTTGTCATGCCCACTGGGATGAATACAAGACCACGAGGTTAAATTCTGTGAGACGATCAAACGGTGTTCGTTGTCAGTCCTGGCACATTTAAGACAGTTATGTGACCGTCTCATACTCCCGACAACATATTCGACTTTTCGCAAATACCGAGTAGCTCTGACTTGAGGCCAGGCACTGTGTCAGACGCTGGGGACATGACAGTGAGCAGAACGACAGGGTCCTCACAGGGCTGATGGTCTAAGGGGGAGAACAGTCACTAGGCTCCATCTTAACTTTCACGTTAAGATGGTGAAATTTTAACCATCGTAAAATGGCTAATGTGTAAAATGAAGATCACTGGGAAAAAACCACTTTGCCAAGGTGTTAAGTGAAAAAAATACATAATATGCTTTGGAAACTTTAAAATGATACACAAAGACATCTGATTTCTCTGCTCAAAATAGGGTATGTGCTCTATTTCAAAATAGGCCTCATGGTTGTTTGAATGAGAAAATAGCCCAGACGGGTCTATCCGGTAAAGGATGTTGTCATAAAGCAGAAATCCCTGCTTTATGAAACAATTTTACAGCGCTATTATCCTTTAAATATTGGGTTGGCCAAAATACCCCTCAAATGCCAATGCAACAATTTGAGCTAGAAAAAGCTCAAAAAGAGAATGGAGGGGCCGGCAGGTGGCGTGGCTGTTGGAGCGCTCGACTCCTTCACGGCCACCCATGGTTTGAGTCCCAGACCTGGTGGCTTGCTTTCTCCCTTCCCCCTTCTCTCTCTGGACAAGTTAAAAAATAACAATAACATGGGGCCGGCAGGTGGTGTGGTGGCTGGGCATGGGACTCACATGGCTGACCATGACTTGAGTCCCAGACTCCCAGACCTGGTGGCTTGCTTTCTCCCTTTTCCCTTCTTTCGCTGGCTCTCTCTGGTCAAGTTTTAAAAAAATAATAAAAACAAATGGAATTAAATAAATAAATATATATACTTTTTAAATGCAGATGGTAACGAGAAAGTTGCAAAAAGACCAATGCCATGTACGTGTGGATGCAGCAGCAAAAAATTCTGCATCGCCTTCATACTTCATACCTCTGTAAGTGACTTATGACCAACTTTTGTATACTGGAATATGATGACTCTATTGACTGGCCAAGCTTTTTCAAGCCCTAATAAAGAAAAAAATAAATATATTTATCATATAACTAAGACACCACATGCTACTCAACAACAAAAAAAATGTGTTCAAAGCCATTTAAATACATAAATAGTGGTACCTTGACTGTGAGCTGGTTCATCAAGAGGGTCTGAAGTTCAGCACTGTAATAAAAAAGAAAGAACCTTTAGTCATTTTTCTATTGAAATCTGAAAGTATCACTAAGTTTTTCTGATGTCAAAGTGTAAACACAATTTTGAAATAAAAATAAATAAAATTAACAAAAAGTAGCCCAACGAAAAATGAACTTTTTTGAATTAATGAAAGAACAGAGAGAAAACAGGAAACTGTCATGACGTCTAAGAATAGACTCAAGTATCTGTGAGAGTCAAGCCAAGACGACAATTCGCATTAGTAAGGAGAAGGTGGGAGACTCAATACATTACACTGGACGAAAACTACACACTTAGAAAAATGAATAAGCCAGCCTTACACACATCTGAAACGCGTGAATGGGATAAGACCTAAAGCATAAAAACACTCCAGAAGGGGACCAGCAGGTGGCATAATGGTTACGTGGCTCCCACATAGTCGACCATGGTTCGAGTTCTGAACCTGGTGACTTGAAACATACCGGGCGTGTGGTGCAAAAACACTCCAGAAGGGGACCAGCAGGTGGCATAATGGTTATGTGGCTCCCACATAGTCGACCATGGTTCGAGTTCTGAACCTGGTGACTTGAAACTTATACCAGGCATGTGGTGCATGTGTACCCAAGATCCCAAGAGGAGAAGAGAGGAGAAGGGATTTTGGTGTGGCCATCCCCCAGGGGGTGATTTCTTGCCTTTGGTCACTTGTCTCTCCAGCAAGCACACGCACCCTATAGCAAAAATCTCTCAAAAATAAAAATAAATAAAAGGCTCTAAAAGAAAATACAAATCTTTGAATACTATTAAGAAAGGTTTTTCAGAGGGACCAGCAGTTGGCGTAGTGGTTATGCCACTGGACTCCCATGTAGTCAGTCGTGATTGGAATCCCGGACTCAGTGGCTTCAACTCACGCCAGGTGCGTGATCCCGAGAGGAGAATGGAGGAGAAGGGATTGCGGTGTGGCCATCCCCCCTGGGGGCTGATTTCTCACTTTCTGTCTCTATGTCTCTCTCTGTCTTTCTGGTGAATGCACACGCCCTACAGCAAAAACCTCTCAAAAAAAAAAAAAAGAAAAAGAAAGAAAGGTTTTTTAGAATACCATAAAAGCAGGTGCCATAAAGGAAAACACTGATTTGGCTACATAAAAATTTTAAAACTTCTATTCATTTGAAAAATGCTTACATACACATAAAATGACCATATTTACATTTTTAGTATGTACATAAGAAAGCTGAAAGAAGGATGTTGGGATTTTTTTGTTGTTGGTCTTAGGTACCACACAATATTCTATTTTTCTCTCTTTACAATGAATATAAATTACTATTGAAAAAAAATTACTGCAAGAAAAAAAAGGAAAAGCAAGAACACCTAGCCTAAGATTATTACCTTGCTTTCCCCCATAACAGCAAATGCATGAATTCATCTTGTACTGACGTGGTTGTGTTCTTTTCCTAGACAAAAATTTAAAAAAAAAAAAAAAAGACATATATTTTTAAAACTATAAGCTTATCAGGGCCAGCAGGTGGGGTGGTGGTTACGAGGGACTCCCACATGCCAACCACTGTCTGAGTGCTGGACCCGGCAGCTTGAAAATCAAAATGGGCAGGTGTGTGCACGTCCCGAATCCCAGGAGAGTGAAGAAGGGACCGTGGCATGGCCGTCCCCCAGAGGGTGATATCTCACTCCCAACCCCCACCTCTCTCCAGCAAGTGCACATGTTCTATGGCAAAAACCTAAAAACAAGTCAAATAAATCAATCATAAGCGTATTTATTCAAAATTACAGGAACACAACTGCCTTTCCTTGTCTCGACCACCCGTCAACTCCAGATGTCCACTGACCACCAGTATCAGTGACTGGAAGGCAGCCTGTCAGCCACTCACCCCTGCCCATGCTCCCCCCGCTCCCCCGGCTCCATGTCAGTCCTGCCCCCCGTCAGCTCTAAGTTGTACCACTGGGAACAGAGTCCCCTTCGCCGGTCTCTCAAAGAAAACAGTCTGAGATTAGACCAAACCATTAAGACCTTCGCCCTTTACAAATCAGACGGATGATTTTCATGTACGTTATAAAATAAACATGGACATTGTGCATGAACTCTCTCTGGGGGAAACCGGTTGTGTTACCTGCACAAATTTGGTGAGACGAGAATCCATCTGCATGAGTATTTCTTCCCATGCTTCACACATACACGTTAGTGACAAATTTATATACTATTAACAAAAAGGAAACAATATTAAAATAATAACAAAATGCTTAAATCACATGTTAACTAAAAAAGCGTTTCTTATCAAGTGTCTCAAAAAATAAAACCCAGCATTTATTTTCAAACACTCTTTTAGCTCAGTAAGCTGGAGAAAGAGAGACCATGGCTAACGTTTGGTAATCATGTAACTACAGAACATGGACAATGATTCTTTTAACCGTCTTTACGATACAATATACTTTTAGTTTTTATCCGGTGACACGAATATCCTCAACCTTCCCACATAAGGCATGTTTTATGTACACTGTCAGAAAGCTGATTTGATCGGCTATTCACTTTTCAAACAGGATCCTTAAAAAGATATTGATCTTGGGGCCAGCAGGAGGCGTGCTGGTTGCGATGCTGGACACTCACATGGCCGACCACAGTTCAAGCCCCGCAACTGGTGGCTTGCTTTCTCACTTTCCCTCTCTCTCTCTCTTTCTCTCTCTCTGTCCCTCTCTCACCAAATTAAAATAAATAAAATTAAATTAAAAAAAAAAAAAAAAAAAGATACTAGGGACCAGCAGGTGGCATGGTAGTTAAGGCAGTGGACACTTCCACATGGCCAATCATGGTTCGAGTTCTGAACCTGTTGGCTTGCTTTCTCACTTTCCCTCTCTCTCTCTCACTCTGGTCAAAATTTAAAAATAAATAAATAAATGAATGAGTAAATAAAAATGAAAAATAAACAATTTTTTTTTTAAAAAAAGATACTCATTTCTAGAAACCTTTGACATCAAGCAAAGGAAGAACAGTAGTAGAACAAAACAATCAGCTTTGATTCTTCGAGGCTTTGCTATCCAGGGGTCTGCTTCTTAAGCACGTGAATCTGGACAGGCCATTTGTTTCTCTCCGACTAACAGAACGCAACAGAAATGACCCTGTCGAGTCCAAGGTCTCGGAAGTCTGCACATTTCCACTTGTACTTCTGCCCCTCCTCTCCTCCCTTCCTTTTTTTTTTTTTTTTTTGGAGAAATTTTTGCTATAGGACGCATGTGCTCACCAGAAAGACAGAAAGAAAGCAAGAAATCATCCCCCAGGGGGATGGCCATGCCACAATCCCTTCTCCTCCATTCTCCTCTCGGATCTTGGGCATGGATGCACATGCACCCAGCATGGGTTTAAGCCACTGGGTCCGGGACCCAAACTGCGGTCAACTACATGGGAGTCCAGCGACATAGTCATTACACCAACTACACCATGGGACATGCCTGGGCGGACCGACTTCCTAGAGGATGGTGGATGTGGAATGGAGAGAAGGCCATGCAGTGAAGGGACACACGCCAGCCCGCATGAGCAAGCCGAGCCGAGTAGCTAAGCCTGGCCTGGACCGACCCCTTTCTGGCCGAGCCTTAACTAAACTGCTCACCCCCACAACTGGAGGCTAATCTGGGTGGGCTTATTAGGAACAAAGGCTAATTTACACGAAGACTATTGTTTCCACAGCATGTTATTTGCAAGTAAAATGAAAATAGTATTTTATTTACAGGAATATTTTAAAAGAGTCACGCTATTTTTCTTCTTTTCCTTTGGGGGTGGCAAATAAGACTGAATGGCAGTAACTTCCTCGCTTTCCTTTTCTGACATTAATGGATGTTATAAAAAGATAAATCTATCAGACGAGACACCCCCTACTGCAGACAGCTTTACAAAATAAAACGGTTAAGATTTTCTGGATGGGGCCAGCAGGTGGAGTGGTGGTTAAAGCGTTGGACTCACATGGCCAACCATGGTTCAAGTCCCAGTCCCAGCATGAAACTCAGGCTGGGCACATGTGCACACAAGCCCAAAATCCTGGGAGGAGAACGGAGAAGGAATTGTAGCATGCCATTGTCCCTGGTCTCCCTTTCCCTCTCACAACGGTCTCTCTCCAATGAGCCCATGTGCTCTATGGCAAGAATCTTTAAAAAAAAAATAATAAAAAAGGACAATGTATATATATACATATACACACACACACGTAAATTTACATACATATATACACATAGATATATATACAAAATATGTGTGTGTGTATATACACGAAACCTTAGAAGCTTAGAGTAAATATTCGCATAGAGAACACTAGACACATACCTGTAAAAGAGCTGAAATGTGAGTAAACTTTCTAGCCATCCGAGTCACTTCAGGTAAGAAAGAATACAGTAGGTTGGTTTCCAGCTGCAGGATGAAAAGAATAATGGGAGTGACAGATGCACTTGTGTCTTTCAAAAATGAGTCCATCATCAGACTGGCTCCATGGCCTGGTGGTTAAGCAGCAGCTAGGTTTCCTACAGCTGGCCGCAGTCTGAATCCCAGCCCTGGCGGCCTGGGGACCACAGTGGCACGCATGCCCATGTCCTGACGGATGGAGAGGGAGGACACGCCCCACTGGTCATCCCTCTCCCTCTCCGTCTCCCTGTCTCTGGTGTGTCCACGTGCTCTCTGGCGAAACTAAAAAATAAATGGATAAATCCTGCCCAGCTTTATAAACCTCCTATAATTTGGGACCAGCAGATGGTGTAATGGCTACATCACCGGACTCACACATAGGCAACTGTAGTTCAAGTCCCGGACCCTGTGGCTTAAAACTCACACCAGGCGTGTGTGCGTACGTGCCCAAAATCCTAAGAGGAGAGGAAAGGAGAAGGGACTGCGGCATGGCCACCCCCTGGGGGATGATTTCTCATTTTCTGTCTCTCTGGCCAGTGCATGAGGCAAAAAAATCTCTCAAAAAAAAGTTATGAACTTCACCACACACCACACAGCACATCTGCTCTGTTTATGAGTTCAGGGCTCGTGTGTTCTTAGGTCACGGGGCTGGATTAAATGCAGAGTGGAAATTCCGGCTCGGTTTCTTACTAAGACAGGGCTGCTTTCCAAACCTGCTATGAGTGTCTAAAGGGTCTGACGATCTAGAATACACTCAGCTCACGATGAAACAGATTGTTCCCAGTAAGAACTGATCACGTTACACCAGAGGCCGTGTGCCGAGGAAGAACACGGACCTCAGAGCCTGATGGCTGAGCACCACTTTCCAATTCTGTGACATGGAGCTAGCTCCAGGTCTCTGTGTGCCGTGAACTCACCTGTAACATGGCGGTAGTAATACCACCACCTCCTCCCTGTTAGGTTGTTGTGAGAACACCAGTGAATTATTTGAAACACTCAGTACTTAGCACACACTAAACAATCAGTAGCTAATTGGCGGCATCATCATCGTTATTATTATTATTATGGACCTATTAGGAGCAGAGTCCTAAGAAAACATTCTGTACGAAGTTAATTGGTTAATAGCGAAACGGTCACTAAGAGACCAGATCAGAATACTGTTTCCACGGCAACGATACTGAAACGCGAAGGCAACCGTGGGATCACACCCGTAACACTCAGTGTGTAAGGACTGGAAGATGCCGAGCTTGCTTTACTTTAAGGACGACTGGAATATACTGAAGAACGGATAATAAGGTCCTACGAACTATGTATTTCCTGCTTGCAGCTATCCAGTTTCCGTACTCACTTGAAAGTATGAAACTTCGGCAGCGCCGCCGC